GTTCAGAGGAGAATGATTGTCTGGGGATCAGACCAGCAGTCTGGGGATCAGACCAGTAGTCTGGGGATCAGACCAGCAGTCTGGGGATCAGACCAGCAGTCTGGGGATCAGACCAGCAGTCTGGGGATCAGACCAGCAGTCTGGGGATCAGACCAGCAGTCTGGGGATCAGACCAGCAGTCTGGGGCAGCTATAAACCTGACTTTACTGCTGACACGGTGTGTAGTGTTAATGTCATCGGGTAAAACATATTAAGTTTGATGTGAGGAAAAAGAGCATAGCTCATGTTCCATGGATCAAGAGACCTTTGCTGTCCTCAAGGCACCCGTCTTGAAAGGGTTAGGTCAGGGTAGGAAGCGGCTGAACTAGCTGGTTGATTGGTTAATGTGATTCAATGCCTTCTACATCAATGTCATTAAGGCTGCACATAACCTTTTCACCACCAGACTAATATTCTATTAGTTAAATTAGGAATTAAAGCAAACGCAGGACAAGTACGCTGGTATAAATATATCCCCTCGGTGTACATTATATACATATCCCCTCGGTGCATATATCCTGTGAACGAGCTTCGTTAGTAACTGCTTGAGTAACCTTGGCATCCTACACTTGCTCAATCGTCCTGATCTTTTAAATAAAGAGAATTTTATTGGTTAAATATATATGACTAAGAGGACAGAGCGGCTATTGGCTAGGCTGCAGCGGCGCAAAAAAACGTGCTTGCATGTTTCTAATTTGTGTGTACCAGTTGAGTCTAGTGGTAACATGTCTTTGTTGGGGCTACTGCGACGTGGTAACTAGTTGTACTTAGGACACTGCCTAAGTTGGAGTTTTTAGATGCCAAGAATCACTGTTTGCGCTGCCAGGGATCACTGCAGTCTGCTAGAAACCAATGAAGGTTTCCAGGGATCACTGCAGTCTGCAAGAGATCACTGCAGGCTGCCAGGGATCACTGCAGGCTGCAAGGGATCACTGTAAGTTGCCAGGGATCACTGCAAGCTGCCAGGGATCACTGCAGGCTGCCAGGGATCACTGCAGGCTGTCGGGGATCACTGCAGGCTGTCGGGGATCACTGCAGGCTGCCGGCGAACGTAAGTGGTCCAGACACGAACTAGTTTCACTGAGATAATTATGGAGATGAAGTTGTATAATAACTTGGGTGGAGATGAAGTTGTATAATAACTTGGGTGGAGATGAAGTTGTATAATAACTTGGGTGGAGATGAAGTTGTATAATAACTTGGGTGGAGATGAAGTTGTATAATAACTTGGGTGGAGATGAAGTTGTATAATAACTTGGGTGGAGATGAAGTTGTATAATAACTTGGGTGGAGATGAAGTTGTATAATAACTTGGGTGGATGGTGGATTTTTTGTCAGCCTTTGTGATTGTTTGGCGCTGTGTGTACGTGAGGTTGTGAGTATTTGTGAGTGTTTGTGGGTGTTTGAAAGAGGTTGCGAGTGTTTATGAGTGTCTGTAGGAGGTTTTGAGTGTGGGCAATTGCAGGAGGTTGCAAGTGTTTGTAGGAGATTATGGATGTTTAAGGTCATTTGTATGAGGTTGTGAGTGTTTGTGGGTGTTTGTATGAGGTTGTGAGTGTGGGTGTTTGTATGAGGTTGTGAGTGTTTGTGGGTGTTTGTATGAGGCTGTGAGTGTGGGTGTTTGTATGAGGTTGTGAGTGTTTGTGGGTATAAAGAATTATGGGATGATATGCGGCAAGTATATTTTGAGATGGCGGAGAAGCGGGTGTGACACCGGATGTGACAGGTGATGTGACACTAGATGAGATAGCGGTGTGACACCGGGTGTGGTAGCGAGTGTGTATGATTATTATTATGATCAAAGAAAGCGCTAAACCGACAAGGGGTGTGCATGAGCGAATGTAGGTAATCTACAAGCAAGAGGGGCTGGTACAGTGAAGAGTTGTTCCCCAAGGCACACTACTCACCCCACTTCGCTCCCTTATTCTCATATCATACATAAACAGGGATATAAACTATAGCACTGCTGTGTCTATTTCAGACGATGCTAGAATCTGCACGAGAGAGGCATCCATAGAAGATGCATAAGTAGGATTACCAAAAGACCTTAGATTGTCTTCAAAAGAGAGAACTCGATCTGCCGGGCCGTGGTGCACACGTTGGGCTGCGAGCGGCGGGTATCAACAGCCTGATCGATCAGGCCAGCAACCAGGAGACCTGGTCTGGAACTGGGTCGCGGGGCGGTGACCTCCGGAAGCGACTACAGGTAACCGAATATTGTTTGCAAGGATCGAGTCTCCGCTTCTTTCTTTCATCTATTGGGACGCAGTAATCGGCTTCACTCGTCCCACCTACACTGTTACTCTGTTATTGTCATTGTCGAGGGGGAAGCGCTAAATCCGTAAGAGTATATATATCCTGAGGAATGGGAAGTAATCAGATTTGATATGAAAAATAGAAGGGCATCTCAAAATTCCTTTGATCAAGAGCCCTTCACTAGCCTGAAGGTGCTACTTGGAGAGCAGGTTTTTGCTGTTTAATACAGAATGACACGATTTTTTTTTCGTGGAGGGCTGAGGAAGGGTTGTTGAGGTGGTTCGGACATGTAGAGAGAATGGAACGAAACAGAATGACTTCGAGAGTGTATAAATTTGTAGTGGAGGGAAGGCGGGGCAGGGGTCGGCCTAGGAAAGGTTGGAGGGAGGGGGTAAAGGAGGTTTTGTGTGCGAGGGGCTTGGACTTCCAACAGGCATGCGTAAGAGTATTTGATAGGAGTGAGTGGAGACAAATGGTTTTTAATACTTGACGTGCTGTTGGAGTGTGAGCAAAGTAACATTTATGAAGGGATTCAGGGAAACCGGCAGGCCGGACTTGAGTCCTGGAGATGGGAAGTACAGTGCCTGCACTCTGAAGGAGGGGTGTTAATGTTGCAGTTTAAAAACTGTAGTGTAAAGCACCCTTCTGGCAAGACAGTGATGGAGTGAATAATGGTGAAAGTTTTTCTTTTTCGGGCCACCCTGCCTTGGTGGGAATCACATCCCAGGTGCTTCATCATTATATCTCACCATCCCAGGCGCTCCATCATTATATCTCACCATCCCAGGCGCATCATCATATATCTCACCATCCCAGGCGCTCCATCATTATATCTCACCATCCCAGGCGTTTCATCATTATATCTCACCATCCCAGGCGCTCCATCATTATATCTCACCATCCCAGGCGCTCCATCATTATATCTCACCATCCCAGGTGCTCCATCATATCTCACCATTCCAGGCGCTCCATCATTATATCTCACCATCCCAGGCGCTTCATTATATCTCACCATCCCAGGCACTCCATCATTATATCTCACCATCCCAGGCGCTCCATCATCATATCTCACCATCCCAGGTGCTCCATCATTATATCTCACCATCCCAGGTGCTCCATCATTATATCTCACCATCCCAGGTGCTTCATCATTATATCTCACCATCCCAGGTGCTCCATCATTATATCTCACCATCCCAGGCGCTCCATCATTATATCTCACCATCCCAGGTGCTCCATCATTATATCTCACCATCCCAGGTGCTCCATCATTATATCTCACCATCCCAGGTGCTCCATCATTATATCTCACGTCCAGTCCATCATTATATCTCACCATCCCAGGTGCTCCATCATTATATCTCACCATCCCAGGTGCTCCATCATTATATCTCACTATACAAGCTGCGTTATGAAATATTTACAGTGTATGTGAGACTTTCTCTCTTCCTCGCTTTCTTCTTTATCTTTCTTTTTCTCTCTCGCTCTGTAGGTATCTGTAGGATATATGTAATAGTTTCCCGGGGTTACCGCCCCCCGCGACCTGGACCCAGACCAGGTCGCGGGGGAGGGGGGTTAGGGGAGGCGATGGTACAACAGTTGATTTTTAAAAGACGACGAGAATCTCCAGTTGAATCAGTGGAAAGTAGAAGGTTGAGAGGAATCATGTAAACTGAGTTGATTAATAAGCGTCCTTGTGATTGTCTTGAGAGAGTTGTTGTGACGGTAACTGATGCTAGAGGTTTCGTGATTCAAATCAAGATGAATTATCTTCCATTCCGAGCCGATGTATGATTATTATTATATAAAAAAGAAAGAGTCGTTAAACCCACTAGGGTCGTACAGCAGCCGCTGTATGATCCGGGTTTAACCCTTTCAAATTAATAGAATAATGTAGTGCCATGTAATACAACTCAGTTTTTACTGCAAATACTGAATAAAATTTACTTCTTAGATGGTAAGGTTAATTGATAGATTATGTGGTTAGTCTCAACTACATAAGTGATGTTCTGAAGGGCAAAACTTGTATTAGTAATCATATGAAAGTGCAATGTTTCCTTGAGAGACGTCATTTGTTTTTTTGATGGACCTAGACGTTGTCTGCTTTTATATCCGTTGTGGAAGATAATTGTAAATTCTTGCTGCCACGGTATGGTGCCTGTATTACGCATAACACTGGCACCGCATTCCAGCTTCGGGGAATGCTGACTTGATGATCGATTATTGATGTGATGATAGATGGAATGTTGACAGGTTATTGACAGGAAGATGGAATGTTGACAAACCGTTGACAGAAAGATGGAATGTTGACAAGTAATTGACAGGAAGATGGAATGTTGATGGGTTAAACAGGAAGCGAACACGAGATTCTTGGCATTTGGAAGTGACAACATTTGCTTCATGTTACCTTTACAATAATGATAGTTATCCATTTAAGTGGATATGAAAGAGTACTGACTTACTAACATAAGAGACAACTAAACACAAAGTGGACATCAAACAGCAGGCATTAAAACACATAGCAAGTATTAAAGACAGTATGTATCAAAACATATAGTGAGCATCAGAATATATAATGGGCATAAAAAAATACATAGTGGGTATCAAAGCTATAGCGACCACCGTCGTATATAATAGTTACTGAAATACACAGTGAGGATCTAATACATACGGACGCATCTTTCACTAAAATATCAAACACGTTTTGTACATGGACAACTTTAATTATAAAATGCTATATACATAATAAACATGAACGTTCGGGCTGTCACGCCCATCAATAAAATAATTTAGATTATAAGATTTTAATATTCATCGAGGAACAAAAACCGCACATACATACTTCCATAATTTCTTCGGCGATTTAAAACGCTGGGGACCGAACACAGTCATGCACACAGCAAAATTCTAATTAAAACAGAAAAGACATCAGACGCTTTACTTGTTCCTCCGTAAGAAAGAACTGTAAGAGTAAAAGATCAAGAAAGATTTGGCATGAAGAACAGAAGTGTGAGCAACATTATACCAAGATCGCTCATACAATAGTCCAGTGTTATATGTGAAAATATATGCAGCAAACATGTCTTCCAAAAATGGGAACACGTAAAATTTTGAGTAAAAACAGAAAATATTTTTTTCCGACAGTTGAAAAAGAAGGGACGTCTCCTAATAAAAAAAATGGATCCCTTTCCCATGTAGGTTATTTTCTCGCTTCCTTACATCTCGAACATGGCCAACTTGTTCCATTCAGCAAGACGCTTTATTTCTGGCTAATATATGCGCGATCTGAAAGCTAAACTCCGTTGTTTCCCAACTTGCCAACTTTGTGCCACTGTTCCTCAACTTGAGCTTCTTGTCACCGTTGCTTACTAATTTTACTACTTTCGTCCCTCGCAGTCGACAGCCTCTGCCCAATTACACATTCCACCTACGGGATCGAAGACGAGGTGCTGGGGACAGGTGTACACCCAGCCTCGCACCAGCCCTCGCACTGTCTTGGAACATGAGATAAACTTCTTGCACGAATCCGGGTGGGCAAAGTATCCAGTGTCATAGCACTGGACAGAGCCATCAGCCATCAGCACCGCTTTCTCTGTCAGCGTCGTCGCCAGCTGCCCCAGGGTGCCGGTGAGAGCGCCACCAAGGTCGTCATAGTAGTAGTCGTAATAGTCGTGGCCGTCGAGGATGGCAGAGTGGGCTGGACCGGGAGAAGTTACAGGAGCCAAGGGTACTCTTTCCGGGGTTGTGCGGAATGGGCGTGGGCTTCGTGGTGGTGGCGGTGTGGTTGTTGTGCTTGGGGTAGGACTGGGGCGCGGGGATGGGCTGGGGCGTGGGGATGGGCTGGGGCGTGGGGAAGGGCTGGGGCGTGGGGATGGACTGGAGCGTGGAGAAGAACTGGAGAGTGGGGTAGGTCTTAAGCGTGGTCGTATACTTGGAGTAAATTTGGATGTGGGTGTAGTGGGAGCTGGCGTGGTAAGAACTGGTGTGGTAGGTGCGGGTGAGGTGAGCTCAGCACCGAAGAGGGCAGAGAAGGTGGGTCTTAATGAGGACTCAGGGACTAGTGTAGTCTCAAGAAAAACATCGTCTATAATAGTGACACCTTCCTCGATCGTGGGGCTCGTCACAGGGGCGGGGGAACTGATCAGAGGGAGGAGTGGGCGTGGATCTTTCTCCAGTACGAATGGATGTAGGCTAGTTTCATCTGGCTGGGAGAAAGGAACCAAGGCTTCTGAACTAATCTGACCCTCCGGGCTAATCAACTTTATGGTGTCATCTGATGAAAAAGATGGTCTTTGCTTTTGTCTGTCAGCAAGTGAGAGGGTTGGACGTGGGCTGATCCCGGTTAACGGGCGGGTAGGGCGATGACGTGCTTCAGGCTGGTCGCTGGTCTCACTCAGCTGGACGGGCCGAGGGCTGGGGCGGGGTCGGTTGAAAGCTCTGGGAGGAGTGTTTCGGGAAGTAGTCTGTAAATGTGGCCTCCTCCTTGCTGGTCTGCTGGTCTGGTCCTGGGGTTTGAGACGAAACAAGCATTAGTGTTTTGCACCACCCTGTCTCTTGTAGAACAATACCACACACACAAAACTAAACATAGCCCTTTAAAATTACAATTATTTAGTTATTAAATTTCTGGAACTGAAATTTACTTAAAAATAAATATACGAATTGTTTGTTTAATTCATGTTAAGTGCTAAACCCATTTGGGTCATTCAGCAAAAAAATCCGAATATTCAGAGGTCTCATCTGTGAAGAAAAAAATGAAACTGCAAAGGCTATAAATAGTTAAGCTATCCTCTCTATTGATACAAAAATTACAATTCATACATTAGTGACACTAGACGAATACACACATTCCAGACAGTCAGGTCACCAAGGGAGCTGCCACAGGTAGAGTCAGAGAATATCGGAGTCGAGGTCAGAACGTAGTTTTATTTCCTTTCACGGGGATGGAAAAGTTCCAAAGGTGCAGAGAACAGTCAGCTGCAAGTCCAAGGTCACCAGGAAGGATTCTCAAGGGACCCCAGGGAGTATGGTGATGGTGATTGGTAGTGGTAGTGTTGTAGTTTAAGTGGATTGGGACGAGAAAAATAAAATGAAGGCTGAACAATACTGAAGCTTTCTCTTACCCACACTGCGTCATTTTCTATCTGGAAGAGATTGTCATTTATACCAAACAAGCTGGAGAACGATCAGTGTACACAGAAGCAAACTTGGGGCTAAAGTCTGTCCTGTTGACTTCTGAGTGTAATCCTCCAACATCAAGTTCTGAAACAGAGACGAAGTCTGTCCAAGTCGAGCAGTCATTATTTTCAGGTCATGTTTTGGGTGGTTCCCAGTCTATGTGCGTCGATCAGGCGTCAGGGCCAAGATATTAAGTTCTTTATAACACCATGCAATGAATTCATGAACAATACTTTATCATGGAATGAAGTCATTCAACGTGCCCAGTGACCAGGTTAATTAACATGTTAAGTGCTCCTCTACACTACTGACTGAAGCACAGAAGTCAGTACTAGATATACATTCTAAATCACTGCCTTGACTTACGGTGCGTACTCAGGAAATGTAGAGTATGTAAAGCAATATACACAGTATTTATACAATGGTATGATAAGGTATTAATTGGACAGGGGAAGGAAGGTATGTACAGTCCATAGTCTGGCACTACACTACGTACACTCACACTACACCCACCACCAAAGGAGAAGGAGAATAATTACTTGACCAGATTTGCCGCTGTTTCCGACTCTCTTCCTCACCACAACTCTTCTCCGAGGGGGCTTGGGGGATCCGCCTTGGGTGGGGGCATCGGGCCGACTGAAGACGGTGGAGACCGACTCCTCCTGCTCCTTCTTTCCCTTCACCTTCAGAGGCGGAGCTTGTCCAGGTGAGGAGGGAGGGCGGGATTTTATGGAGGGTTTTCGATGCCCACCGCCTGCAGACGACCCGGGGCGTGAGACTAGTGACGACCCTACGGGACGACCTCTCACGCGGGTGCGGGTTCGTGTTGGTCCACTGGTGTTAGTTGTAGGCTCAGTTGTGGTAGAAGTTGTAGTGGTAGTAGTGGTAGGTGGAGGTGTTGTGGTAATTGTAGTAGTAGTAGTTGTTGTTGTTGTAGTGGTGACTGATGTTTGTGGTAATGGTGTCGACGGAGAAGAGCTTGGGAGGTCAAGGGAAGACCCTACATCAGTGGAGAGGGTACCATCGTCGTAGTAATAGTAATCTTCTGTGTGAGCTGCAGCACCGGATGTGCTCTGGGAAGAGAGAACATCATGCTGGCTGCGTCCGGCTATAAGGTTCTCCAAGTTGTGCGACGCCGTGCCATGCACAGCTACCACGACCGACTCCTCGTGCAGTACTCCACGATCTCCAGGTACCCCGCCATGCTGTGAGTCATGCACTACAGGGGGATCATCCTTCTCCGTGGGGGCGACGAAGGGAGTAGGTGGGTCATGCAAAAGATCTCCCTGAGGGTGAAGAAGGTTTCCAGCACCATGCACCGTTAGATGAAGAGTGGGATGAGTGGTGGGGGTGGCAGAGAGCGGGGTAGGGGTCGAGAGGACTAGCTGAGGTTGGACTCCACTAACAAGGTGGGTTTGTCCCGCCACACCCGACCTCCGCCTGCCTGTGAAGTCTACGGTGGGGGACCCAGGGAAGAGTGAGGGGAAGGCTACGGGTGTGTCGGGGGAAGGAGCTCTACCAGCTGTATCAGCACTGGCACCTTCTGGCACATTAGCAATATTTGTTATATGGTCAGTCAGTAAGAGAGGTGTATTGTGTGACACATGGTCATCTTGTGTCACACGTACACTATGTGCCACATGGTCATCTTGTGTCACACGTACACTATGTGCCAAATGGTCATCTTGTGATACACGGACACTAGGTATCACATGGTTATCGTGTGTCACATGGTCATCTTGTGTGGTAAGGTCATTTAGTGTTGCATAATCATCTTGTGATATATGGACACTAGGTGTTGCGTGGTCACCTTGTGACACACGGACACTAGGTGTTGCGTGGTCATCTTGTGACACACGGACACTAGGTGTTGCATGATCATCTTGTGACACACGGACACTAGGTGTTGCAGGGTCATCTTGTGACACACGAGCACCATGTGCCGCATGATCATCTTGTGACACACTGATACTTGGTATCACATGGTTATCGTGTGTCACATGGTCATCTTGTGTTGTAAGGTCAATTGGTGCTGCATGATCACCTTGTGACACACGCCTATTAGGTGTCACACGATTATCTTGCTTTGTAAGGTCATTTAATGCTGCATCATCGTTTGACACACTTACACTAAGTGTTGAATGGCCATCCTGTGACACATTCACACTAGGTGTAATGCGGTCATCTGATACACTTGCACTAGGTGTTACACGCTCAGCTTGTGTCAAACGTACACTTGATTTCGCAAGGTCAGTCTGTGACACACGCACACTAGGGGACACACGGCCAGTCTGTAATACATTCACAGTAGATGTGACAATGTCAGCCTGTGATTTACGCACAATAGGTGTTGCACGGTCATTCTGTGACACACTCACACTAGGTGTCACACGGTCACTTCGTGACACATGCATGTCATGTGTCACATGGTCACCATCTTGTGACACATGCACATTGGATGTCACTTGGTCATCTTGTGTCATATGATTATCCTGTGACACATGCACATTAGGTGTCACATAGTTATCTTGTAACACACTCACATTAGGCTCCACAAGGTCAGCTTGTGCCAGCTGCCCACTAGGTGTCAGAAGTTCATCTTCTGTCACATTCACGTTAGGTATAACAAAGTCGTCTTCTGACACATTCACAATACGTGTCGAATGGTTATCTCGTGTCATAAGGTCATCTTGTGAAACACTCATAATAGGTGTCACAGGGTCATCTTGTGAAGCTCTCGCACTAGGTGCTGTAAAGTTATCGTGTGCCAGACGCACACTAGGTGTCGAAAGATGGTCCAGTGATAAGCTTACACTAGGCGTTATATGATCATATTGTGACACATTCCCTTTAGATGCCACATAGTCAGTTTGTGAGATAAGCACACTGGGTGTGACACGGTCAGCCTGTGGCACATGAACACTAGGTGTCACATGGTCATCTTGTGACACACGCACACTAGGTGCTACACGGTCATCTTGTGACACGTGCACACTAGGTGCCACACGGTCAGCTTGTGACACACGCACACTAGGTGCCACACGGTCAGCTTGTGACACACGCACACTAGGTGCCACACGGTCAGCTTGTGACACACGCACACTAGGTGCCACACGGTCAGCTTGTGACACACGCACACTAGGTGCCACACGGTCAGCTTGTGACACACGCACACGGTCAGCTTGTGACACACGCACACTAGGTGCCACACGGTCAGCTTGTGACACACGCGCACTAGGTGCCACACGGTCAGCTTGTGACACACGCACACTAGGTGCCACACGATCAGTTTGTGACACACGCACACTAGATGCTACACGGTCAGCTTGTGACACACGCACACTAGGTGCCACACGGTCAGCTTGTGACACACGCACACTAGGTGTTACACGGTCAGCTTGTGACACACGCACACTAGGTGCCACACGGTCAGCCTGTGACACATGTCCGCTAGATGTGACACGGTCAGCCTGTAAAACACTTACATTAGGTGTCTTATGGTCATCCTGTGACACTTGTACACTAGGTGTTATACGGTCAGCCTGTGAAACACGCACACTTGGTGTCGTGCGGTCAGTCTGTGACACATGGTCAGCCAGTGACACATGGTCAGCCAGTGACACATGGTCAATATGTGGCAATAGCACTATAGTTTTTACGTGATTATCTTGTTTTCTGCCTTCACTATGTGTCACACCACTTTGTGACACATCAAGTGTGTGTGACACAGGCACAACAGGTGCCAAGTGTTCGCTTCGTGGAAGATGATCTGAAAGCAACATTCGATCAGCTGGTGTCACAAGAACGAATGTTGTAACGTGGTCATCGTGTGACACACTGTCAGCTTGTGCTGCTCTGTCGGCTTGTGATACACTGTCGTCAGCGTCTGACACACTCTCCACTAGTGATACATCGTCAGCTTCAGATACAATGTCAGCTTGTGATACACCGTCAGCTTGTGCCACATTGTCAGCTTGTGATGCACCGTCAGCTTGTGCCACATTGTCAGCTTGTGATACACCGTCAGCTTGTGCCACACTGTCAGCTTGTGACACACCTTCGGTTTTTGACGCACTCTCGACTTGTGTTACATGGTCAGCTTTTATTACACTGTCAGCTTGTGTTACATGGTCAGCTTGTGATACTCTGTCAGCTTGTAACACGCTGTTAGCTTGAGACACACTGTCAGCTTGTGTCACATGGTCAACTTCTGACACACTTTCAGCTTGTGACACAGTGTCAGCTTGTGACACTGTGTCAGCTAGTAATACACTGTCAGCTAGTGATACACTATCATCTTCTGTCACGTGGTCAGCTTCTGACACACTGTCAGCTTGTGTCACGCTGCCAGCCTGTGACACATTTTCAGGTTGTGACACAGTGTCCAATAATGATACACTGTCAACTTGTGTCACATAGTCAACGTCTGACACACTGTCAGTTTGTGACACGCTGTCAGCCTGTGTCACGTGGTCAGCTTCTGACACACTGTCAGTTTGTGTCACGCTGTCAGCTTGTGACATACTTTCAGGTTGTGGCACAGTGTCAGCAAGTGATACACTGTCAGCTTGTGACACAGTGTCAGCTAGTGATACACTGTCAACTTGTGTCACATAGTCACCTTCTGACACACTGTCAGATTGTGACACGCTGTGCGTCACATGATCAGCTTCTGACACACTGTCAGGTTGTGTCACAAAGTCAACTTCTGACATACTGTCAGCCTGTGTCATACTGTCAGCTTGTGTCACACTGTCAGCTTGTGACACACTTTCAGCTTGTGTCACACTGTCAGCTTGTGTCACACTGTCAGCTTGTGACACACTGTCAGCTTGTGTCACACTGTCAGCTTGTGTCACACTGTCAGCTTGTGACACACTGTCAGCTTGTGTCACACTGTCAGCTTGTGTCACACTGTCAGCTTGTGACACACTGTCAGCTTGTGTCACATGATCGGCTTTTAACACAATGTGAGTTTTTTTTACACTATCAGCTTGTGACACACGGCTAGCTTGTGACACACGTCCAGCATGTGACGTACGTCCAGCATGTGACACACGTTCACCTTGTGACACACGACCACCTTGTGACACACGACCAGTTTGTGACACACGACCAGCTTGTGATACACGACCAGTTTGTGACACACGACCAGCTTGTGACACACGACCAGCTTGTGACACACGACCAGCTTGTGACACACGACCAGCTTGTGACACACGACCAGTTTGTGATGCCCGACCAGCTTGTGACGCACGACCAGTGTGTGAAACACGACCAGCTTGTGACGCACGACCAGTGTGTGAAACACGACCAGCTTGTGACACACTGTCAGCTTGTATCACACTGTCAGTTTGTGTCACACTGTCAGTTTGTGATACATTGTCAGCTTGTGAATTACTCTCAGCTTGTGGCACACTGTCAGCTTGTGACACACCACTATAGTGTGATACACCTTCAGCTTGTGTTACACTGTCAGGGGGTGACACACTGTCAGCTTGTGACACATGGCCAATGCGTGACACACTATCAGTTTGTGAAACACTAGCTTGTGAAACACTGTCAGCTTGTGATACACTGTCAGCTTGTGACACATTGTCAGCTTGTGACTCAATGTCAGATTGTGACACACTGTCATCTTGTGACACACGAACTCTAGGTGTCATATCGTCATCCTTTGTCACAAAATCAGTCTGTGACACGTCTACGTTAGATGTCACCTGGTCATACTGGGAAACACGGTCGATTATTAACACGCTCCTATGTGTCACCTGGTCATCTTGCAAGACTGGTGTCACCTGGTTATCTTGCAAGACTGGCGTCACCTGGTCTTCTTGCAAGACTGGTGTCACTTGGTCATGTTGCAAGACTGGTGTCACCTGGTCTTCTTGCAAGACTGGTGTCACCTGGTCATCTTGCAAGACTGGTGTCTCCTGGTCGTCTTGCAAGACTGGTGTCACCTGGTCATCTTGCAAGACTGGTGTCACCTGGTCATCTTGCAAGACTGGTGTCTCCTGATCATCTTGCAAGACTGGTGTCTCCTGGTCATCTTGCAAGACTGGTGTCACCTGGTCATCTTGCAAGACTGGTGTCACCTGGTCATCTTGCAAGACTGGTGTCACCTGGTCATCTTGCAAGACTGGTGTCACCTGGTCATCTTGCAAGACATGTTCTTCGTGTTTCTCAGGGTCAGGATGTGTCAGTAAGTTGATTTGTGACTCTTGTTTTTGAGTTTCAGTAACAGAATCGGCCAAGATGATAGCCTTGGACCCGAGGCCAGTCAGAGGCTTACGACCTAGCTCGAGATTATCACCTTCCAGAGCAGTTTTACGCTCACCCTCAAAGTCTGGGTGGATCTCCGGGTGACGAGTGATCTTCCGATCAAGGGTCAGGGTGACTTGCCCCTTGTTAGGAAGGCTTGCCACTGGTACTGGGCGTATTTCAGGGACATCTTTTATGGGGACTGAACTGATTTCTGGGACATCTGTGGTAGGTATTAATTCTTTCTCTGGAAGAACTTTGACAGGAGCAAGATGTCTCTCGGGAGCAACCTTGGTGGGTATAAGTTTATGCCCGTGAACAACTCGAGCACGTCCAATATTATTCTCAGGGAGATCAAAATTGTCGTCATAGGCCAGATATCCGGAGAAATCCACCCAAGACCTTTGGGTGACCTCTGGAACAATACTAACATCGAGAATAGGGCCGGGTTTCTGAACAAGGTCCACTTTTGAGACGACCTCGGCTTTAGGGTCAAGTTGTAGCTGCGATACGGGGTCAGTATGAGTTAGTACAGTTAAGTCTGGTTTGTCGGTCAAAACCGCCACTACTTCCCCTTTAGCTGGTCGCCCAGGCCGCTTAGCCCCAATGCTTGGAAGAGAAGACCCCGTCTGAGCGGGGGTCATTATAGCCGGGGTATCAGGCAAACCTTCATGCAAGAGATTATCCTGAATGTCTTCCTTGACAATTACTTCGCTTGTTGGCCGCACCACAAGTGGCCGGTACCTGACTGAGGACCCACTTACAGGCACGCTGGTGACTGTCGTTTCCTCTAACGTTGTCGGGATCTCTTCCTCCGCCTCTGTAGTGAAGCGTGCTCGTTCTATCGTCACGTACCTAGAAGTAAGTTGGGAAGTATATTAATGTTCATGTCAGCATGCTTGCTGTAAATTAACTTCTACAACATGAGGTAAAGCTATGTGAATTTCAGAACTTTGGGCCAAGCAATGAGATATATGCCTTTTATCCTTAAAAGCCGTACGTTGCAACTGAAAAATATATCGAGCATTGCGTATGGAAAAAGTTTATTAATTCTAGAAATATTTGCCAGTCTCTTAATATATTAATAACACACAAGCATTAGCAGTTTGCTCAAATATATATAAAATGCTTTACGTGAATTAAAAGAGAACACTTAATAGTTGAGGTAAGCCAAGAAAGTTTGGTAAAGAGCTAGCTGCAGGAATAAGATAAAAAAAGATAAAAATTAATCAGAATTATGTAAAAGTGTTAAAATAGGTAAGAATGAAGTAACAGAATAACTAAAGAACGTGAAATGTAAACGCAAATAATTTCAAGCTGACACTGCAAGGTAATTTACGTCATTCGGTTAAGATAACATACCATCACCAATCCTCGTCTCAGCTTTATATCGTCCACATCTCGCTCAGCCTTGTTTATATTGTTAAATAACAAATGAGCTTAAAGACAAATATAAGCCGTGCTTAAGCCAGCCCAATCAGTAAGCACTGAAGTCTAAGCCATGTATATAATCATGGAACATGTTGTACCTTGGTGTTGTGTGTACAGCTGTAATAATGGTTGGCTCTGAGCCTGACGGAGAGGGTAGGGTGGGAGTTTCAGTTGCAGGTATAGTGCTACCACGACGGCGGTTAATAGTCACGTACTGGAGGATTGGCTCAGTTGAGGAAACAGTTTCAGGACCAGATGTGGCGTCGTTGACGGTGGGTCGACGGCGTCTGTCGATGGTTACATACTGGCGCCCCGCGGTCGTGGGCTCAGCCTCACGGGCCTCACTCTCCTCATCAGGAATGGACTGTGCGGCAGGACGGGCTGGGCGCTGGCGTTCAATGGCACTGTATTGTGGACGGCCTCGCACTGCAGCACCAATAGGGTCTCGTCGCCTTGGGGCATCCGTAACAGCGGGGTCACGTTGACTTGGGGCATCCTCCACAGCAGGTTGTCGAGCCGCACTCCTATAGGGTGTTAAAGTTTGCTTCGTGAGCATTGTCTGGCAAAAATATTTGCCTTAAAAACGATTACTTTACCAAAATCTGAAAGCAAGAGAACATGAGCTAAAGATGCTCACATGAAGCTTAAAAAATGATGAAAAGAGGCAAACAAACGAAAATTTAAGGATGAAAATCTGTAACAAAGATGGTTATAATTAACGTACCTGTCGCGGGAGATGCTGGCATACTGTGGCTTAGTGCGCCCTCCTAGAGGGGTCGAAGAAGAGGTAATATCTCGACTGGCTTCACTCGTACTACTCGAGTCCCTTGTAAACTGAGCGCCACCAGAGTTTTGAAGCCTTTTTAGGAGGGATAAACAGAATTAAAAAGTGTCCTAACGCTGATCTTGTCCCTGATGTGAATTTTACTATCGTCTTTTCCCTTCAGCAAGACTCCAAGTTTTTTCCCCCAAATATATCACTAGACAACCTAGTTTATCTCTTCCACTTGTGTTAATACGTAGCCTACCTGGCGAAGATTAATCAACGGACAGATATACAAATGAAAGTAATAACAGATCACAAATGCACACATATACATAAATAATAATCAAAATATACATATACATGGAAAAATCATAAAGCGGTATTCTTGACGGCTGGAAATTTGTTAAGTTTAACACCAGACTCAGTTTATCAGGTGTTGCTCTGCCATCTTCTGTCCACTGTAATGCATATACTGTGGATATACGTTTATCAAATGGTGTCTATACTTATAAATATTTTGTTTTAGTGTCAAAGGTGACTGAACGTGTATAAATCATAAATGTTATAAACTCTGAATACAAACAGAAAGCGAGTCTATCTCGCTTTCGGCAGACGGAGGATCAAGCCTCCACCACGTGTTGCGCTGAATGACCCACATGGGTTTAGCGCTTAATATGAATTAAACCTATAAACTCTGGTGACCTGTATCAAGGAATATCTAGAAAAAGAAAGTGTGACACATTTAGGCTTAATGATGACTAAAATAGAGATGTAAGCAGAGTAAACAGTTTGCAGAGTGAGCTACGATGCACCTGACTGGTATACATCCCCAGTTAATTAGTTGTGTGGGAAAACAGAGATAAATATGTTCCGGATATGCTTTAGATTTCCTTGCAGGGATGCTAGGAGTCGCAACGACTTAAGACCAGGATGCGCAGGATTCTTCAGGGAAATTCGAAGAAACACTGCCTAAACATAGCCCGTTACTGCCAACATGTAGTGGATTTATTTGGGCAATTTTTGAAAGTGTTATTAACTTTCTTGCCCATTACTCTCCTCCACAGATCAGCTACTTACTGCCTACTGACGGTGTTGGAGACCTCCTCTACAGGCTTGGGGTCAGCTGAGGCGGGTTCTTCATCATAATAGTAATCATTGTCGTCGTAGTAATACTCATCATAGTAGGAGTAATCTGTGGGTATCTCAGTTGTAGTGGGGATGGGGGTTGAGGGTCCAGGAGTAGTGGCTGCAGCACCCCCACGATTCTTCCCTGTGGTGCACTTCGCCCTGCTCGGGTGGTCGCAGCCGTCAATCACCTTGCTGAATACCAGTTCTGATCGGGGAGAAAACGTTGTAGAGTTAACTTTAGCTCTTTTTGACGCAGTTGGAGGAGTTACTGGAAAATATTTTATATGCAAGGAGGTGGACGAGGCAGCTAACAGACAAGTACATAAACATACATAAAACAGTTTCGCTCAAAAAGATCTGTATCAAGCCATGAAAAAGTTCCCATCAAGAGAAACATCGTTATAAAAACTATGTTGCTTTAAGCCTTTTCATCAATCTTAGTGTACGTCAAGGTGTCTTGGGTTGCTAGTACGCTGTTAATGAGCTGTGGGTGGATTACTACCATGAGTGCATCTTGGACTCTGAGTCAGAAAATGTGGCACCTCATAGCCAGAGTAGGAAGTTCAGTGAATGGTATCTCCCTCAGGGAGTAAATAAAATTGAAGATCACTACTATGAGTGAATTGCCATCTTCCTGAAGGGCTGGGACCTACACAGCCACTAAACACATGAGAGACGTAAGCGAGGGTCAGGGAATGCTTCCTAATTGGTGAATCTTAATGAAAGTCACAAAAGCAACTTCTTACATTTGCTTCTCTTGTTCAAATAATGGTAAACAGATACCTGGGTATTAGTTTTGTGTTTCACATATTTGGGAAAAGGATCGAAAGTCCTCATTGGGATTTTTAATTTAATTAGAGGAAGTTCTAAGCTCGTAGGGATCATACAACACCTGAGGAATGGAAAGCGCTCAGGTTCAGTCCAGGTTAGGGAAGACAAATTTAATTTCTTGGATCAAGAGCCTCTCACTTGAGAGGTCTACAACAGGGATAAACCACACTGATTTCCTGGGATATGAATGTAGTGTTAGGTTTCCGAAGAAAATCTTAACTTCCACCTGTGTAACTAGTCAACCACAGCTATACCTGACGACGGCACTAGTGGAAGATGCTGGGAAAAGGAATGTCACTTGAGGAGCTTGTCAGAAGCGAGTAATTGAGGAAAAGGGATAATGCCTAGGCATCTTATAGGCTCTCTTTGCATTGCAACCCATTATTGTAAATACATATTCTCAATGTACTATTTGCAAAGACAAACAAATGAATAAATAAATAAATAAATAAGTGGAGTATCATCACCCTGAAGGATACCCGGGTAAGGGAGCATCACCTACCTGAAAGATACCCGAGTGAGGACCAGGAAGGGAAAGCATCACCTACCTGAAGGACAGGTGAAGGCATGAGCCACAATGCCCAGCCCTGAGGGGCCAGAGTCGAGACACCAATAATATTTGTGGCAGTTGTCGGGGTTCGGGTAGAAGCCTTCACGCTTGCAGGCGAAACCTAGGAAGAAGGACCTCATTAATAACTAGAAGGGAAGGCATAAATTACTAAAAAGATAAGGATAACTGATATGATAGGCGTAAAACATTCCAGCACTGTATTTCTCCCATCCACTGTTTTTTACGCCCTCCCAGTCCTCTCACAATTACTGCTACTACTACTAGTACAATAATAATAATAGTTTATTCATAAAATTTTGTTAAATCTTAGCGTTTCTATATGTAACAAAAGATGATCATTTCCCACATAATAATGGATACACACTGCATGTAAAAAATAATACTTAATTTAAAACAATGCTAGAAGGCCATTCTCTCTCTCTCTCTCTCTCTTGCTCGTTTACTCTTTCCTTCCTCTCTTTTTCCATCTGTCTCCCTAGTTTCCCGCCCCCTTCCTCATTCTCTCCCCTCGTCCTACACTCACTGGAGACCGGTCTGGGTGTGGTGGGTGGTGGCGGGGTGTTGAGGGGATCTATGGTAGCTTGTTGCTGAAGTTGCGGTTGTCGTCGTGTCCCTGGTCGTCGTCTCTTACCCTCGGGACGACGTGCAGGTGCGCGGGTCGTGGTTCTACAGAACAGGTTGAGATGAAGGTCAGTAATTTAAAAAAAATGTGATAATTATGGATTGGATTTGATGGATGTGTATATGAAGCTGGTATACCAGGCGGTATGATATACCTGGTGTAATAATACCGAAGTTGGTTTGGATCGTTAAGCTAGTATAACTATTGGATTCTGAAAGACGTGTAGAAAGGACTTGTCCTTCAGGCGCTCCTGAGCGAGAAACGTTTCTATTGAATAGATAAGCTGTTGTTACGTGCATTCACATGAATCAACATGTAAGAAGTTTGTCTGTCGTTTTATATGTATAATATGGTTGTGCAGTTGTGTTTTACGGTCTTAGATAAAGAACTGTTATAAGGCTATTCCGCGATTGAGATATAAGATGGGGTTGTATCACAAAGTACAATGGCTGTGTAGATTTACCTTTAAAAATTGTTAAAATTTTATTTCCCTCCTTTAATGTAATATGGTTGCAATTGTGCCGTCCTGCAAAAAAAAAAAAAAAAAACTATTTTTTTAGGCATTCCTAAGAAGAAATTTTTTTTTAAAGGAGGTTTGTATCCCCGTAAAGAAAATGGCTTGTATGAGTTTTTCCTTTAAGAAATTATGATATGAATATTTTAATTGATCCTAAAGTAAATAGGATTCAAAAATTTCGTTCTTTCACTATGTAAATGTGCGAAGGTCATTATTAATCAAATTATAGGTGAAAAAATTAAAAAAAAAAAGACAGAGATACGACTAACAAACAGAAAATGAATAGGGAGAATTTATTATTATGAGGTAGAATAAGAGGTAATACTTTTAAATAATGAAGAATTGCACTAAAATGGAAACAGAGATGAAGTAACGTGTATCAGAACTAATGAGAATTTTTAAAAGCTTTCATAAATTTATTATAGAGAAAAATAACCCCACGAGCACAACTCTGTATCCTGTAGATACAAATAGGTAATTGCAAATAAACAACGATATATTTGGTATATATATTGTATAGAGGCATCAAGTGCAACTGGCTTATAAAATTATAATATTTTATATTCAACTCTAATGCAACTTGTTTTAAAAACATAATACATTTGTGTTAATATGAATTTTATTAAAACGTTCACATTATATTATTCTTGTGTCATGGACATTTAAACAAGACTTTCAGTGTCAACTTCCTCTTCACATTGTTAATTCATGCTGTGCCAGTGTATCACCTGCTCTGTGACAACTCCCTTAATCACATGCACAACATGTAAATATAATCATGCACAAACTGTCTTGCATTTGCTGATCCATAAAAAATGCATCAAAGCAATCATGCATAATTGCTGTCAAAAAGGGATCATTTGATTTTACAGGCACAATATTTAACTAGATTGTGGGAGAGCGTTCGTCACTGTGGTTTGAAGACGGTCAATACAGTTGGATTAACAAGATGGTACAATGGAAGATGAATGAAGTTTAGTGAGGGAGAAAGTAGATGAATGGAGTTTGAAAAGGAGATAGAAAAATATAAGGAATCTGGTGAGAGAGAAGAAAAGAAACTTATTTGATAAATACAAGATAAGGAATTTGAGAGTTCCAGTGCCACAGTGAGGGAGGAAGAAGTGAATAAAGTTCGGAAGGAAGGAAGGAAGGTGGTAACAGAACTGAAAGAGATGGTTGAAAGCATTATGTTGGAACATCAAAAGTCTTGAATGCTGTTATGGAAATTATGTCTGTAAACACCATTTCAAAGAATTAATATAAAATTCCACATATCTCTAACTCATCGTTAGGTATCCTGGGCAATTGCTAAGGCATCAAGCTGATATTATAGCAGAAGCATAATAAGCATTTTATAAAACCGCATGTTTTATTATTTGTATAAGCAGGTATTAATGGGACATGTTAGCCGGATGGTTGCACGGCTGAGGCGGAGATGGTGGGATACCTTTCTCCCAAGCGATCAGATCTTCTGGGCTCGTCCAACCCGCCAAACCTGGCTCTCTCTCGGGTACTACCAGTCCGTGGGAAGTGCGAGGGGTCTGGGATGGGTATTGTCGTCTCGGTATCTTGGGTTCGGATGCGAGTACGTCCCCGTGTTCTTGTGCGGAAAGGCTCCTGGTTGTTGAACGTTGTGGTATGCGAACCTCTCCTCCTTGAGTCATCAGTGGCTTGGACAGCCACAGGGGATGGCCTGTCCCTTCTGCAATTTGTCGTTTATTTGTGTGTATGTGAGTGGAAGGTGTTTGTGGTGGAGCAACTCCACTCTAGACCGTAGCATCTGTTAGCTTAATGACCTAATGAACGTAGGAAAAGGATTTCTGACACGGATATGAAGATAAAAACCACACAAGTACAAATCTTTATTGTAGTCATCGTTGTTTTTGTTGTTCTTGTATTCATCACTGAATATCCCCTGACACAAGTGGCCAGCATTATGGCGGACCACAACAAATGATTGCAGGCTTATTCAGTTGTCTGAGCGAATTAATTTTGGTGGAAATGAGCTGTATTACTCACTTATAGGAAAACCATACTAACAGCCAATCATAGCGGGGAGGATGTAAACAAGAGCTGGTGGGAATACAAGGTGGGGATGAGGAGAGACAAGAGGGAAGTGCCAGTTGTGATGGGGAAGTCAAGCGAAACGAAGGAAGGGTCACAACAGGATTAGCTCTACCCAGCAGTAGTAGTTTTGCAGGAGGTGGACCAGTGTTAAACATCCCTCGGTTCTGTTCTGTGGCGTGAGATTTTGGCTGACGGCTTTATTATTATTTTTTCTCATAGTATTCCTGTCAGGAATTTCTTGATTAAGAGTGCCAATACTTTGCGTAAACATCCCCAGAAGCTTCTCCGACATTTCGTCAACAGATTCATTGAATTCAATAGAAATCTCCAGAAACACCGGAAAATGAAAGGAACCTGGTACAGGGATGATCCTTCAAGCATCCTTCTCTGCCATCATTATCTACACAAGCTCAGGTCAGATAAAACAATTTAGAATATCACCACCCTTCACAGCAGCAGAGATGTAATCGTAGGCATTTACAATGCTACATCATATCTTCTGGGATATGAAATCAGCTTTATTGGAAAGGAATATCACTGGATATAAATACAAATTGTAAAAGAAAAAAGGCGCAGTGTTGGGTTTGAGCCTGTGTCGTATGCCACAGTTCTACACTAAGCATGTTTCACATATAATTTAACAATGGCATGAAACTATAAATATATTTCTTCCACCAATGGTAAGCTAATCATCAACGAGGACCACAGATGTTCAAGGTAATTCATACACACAACTGCAGTTTAAAGTTGTGACAGAGAAAAGAGGCATGTAACCTTGTATGAAACTAATACTGAGCAAAGGTAACCTGCTCAACATGATTCAGTTCGACTTGGCTCTTCTTTTACTTCACTGGACCACACTATCCCAACCTCCCATTTCTCCTTTCCAGTAAACGCTGCCTCCTGCCTCTCTTCATTCTTGCCAGGGGATCTTCCCTGCTGAGAGGGATCCCCTCTTTTTTTTTATTACCACCGTGAGGGACCTTGTTCCTCACTCTCAGGGGACATTGCTTCCTGCGAGGGGACTCTTTTCCTCTGTGAGGGGATCGTTTCACTATCTGCGATGGGACTATCTTCCCGATTGCAAGGGAACTGTCTCTCCAGCTGCAATGAGACCGTCTTCGATACTGCAAGATGACTGTCTCTCCAGCTATGAGGGACAATCTTCCTTGTTGCAGGGACACTTCTCTCCCACTTTGAGGGGATCTTATTTCATGCGGCCAGGGGATATATAAGTTTATATTTTGGAGTAAATTTCAAAGTGTTCCCTAAAATAAAGGCTTGTCATTATGTGGAGCTGAATGACCAATGATGAAAGATACTGATGGCGTACAATTAAATTTAAAATATATATATATTACTAAACTCTTTGATGATCACCCTTTCAGAATTCAACCAATGCAGTCTTGCTAAATATATACACATTATAATATCTACACAAATAAAGGTAAGGCAGCTGTGAGCGTTATTTGTTGTGGCAAACGTGAACTATAACTAATGTCTAATACAAAGCTACGCTTTTCCCATTATATACAATTTATTAATACAGTAAAAGCAATGATACTTGCAAGGAACTAGGAGTCCAAGGTTAAACTACAACAAGTTGAGATGTCTAATGAATAGGATTTTGTATTGCGAGACTTGAGTTTCACCACATTATGATCACTACAGGTTTGTTAGTTAATAAGTTTACACAATGAAACAGTAATACAGAACATTAGCCGCACACTGAGGCTGTGTCTAATCTTGTCAAATAAAAAAGTAATATTGTATCTTACAAAGTCTAATTAAATACTTAAACCAAAAGCGTTACATTATCCCCCTCCCCCCCCCCCTCCAATAAAAAAAAGCGACTTGTGCTTCGAACCAAAGGGATCTGTTAAATAGCAAAGAAACTCACAAAAAGTTGTTTTAAAGTAAGTTTCTGCATTGAGATAATAAATAAAATCCGAGAAAGTGCATTTAGTTTCAGAAATCATTATGTCTGGTTAAAACTTTTCCATCTAATGGAGGCTCTGAAACATTAATTGTTCAGTATCTTCCTCTGATGAACAATTCTTATATCAATATCAAAATAATTATTCTATTGTCTAAACTGTATTTTTCTTTCACCATCACTTTCATTAATCTTCCACCATTCGTTCCATTTATTAAACATCCTTCTTTTCTAGTCATGCATTCCATCATTTCAGATGTTCTACATGTTCCCCTTCTCCCCTTCCTCATCCTGTGTTTGTGGCCGTCGTTTGGGACAGATCATTCTCAAAACGTAATAATTCCAACGTAAGAGTAACTCCAACTTTGCTGGAAGGAAACACTTTAAACTTCCATACATCATAGTTCTCAAGTCTCATAGTCCAAGCTGAAAGATTTCATTACCTTATGTATGAAACCCATCGTATATGATGAAAATGACAGGAAAATGATCCTGTTGGGTGGCGTATGGCAGAAAAATCATTCTTAGCGATTTTACTGGGTAACAACATTGTGACGGAAGAAGATAAAGGGACTATTCTCTTTGACTCTTTGATGAAGGGTAATATTAAAGCTATCTTGTGAGATGGCTTGTTATAAGAAGTATGAGTATGACCGATAAACCTCACTGTGTGACGGAAAATGACGCTCGACCCTTCCAGCGCAGTGTAATAGGACATGGAAACATAGCTAGCTTTTGTTCCTACGTAACAATCATATGGAAAAAATGGTAACCATACGCTGCAATTGTATCGAATCTTGATATACAAAAAATGCTGATAACCGTAGCACTTACCCTGGCGAAGCACTCTGGAGGTCCCTGGCCTCATTGGCCTGTTCGCCTCCGCCGAAGAGTGCCTTCTTACCAGCCTCCACCAGCGGGTATTGCTCTCCGTTGCAAATGCCTCGGAAGTCATCGTTGTCCAGACTCCAGTACATGATTCCTCCAAGCTGATTCTCCCTCACGTATTCCGCCTGCCGGGGGTAGGAGACGTTAAGTAGAAAACGTAGAAGTTACATAATTCCTCCACGCTGGTGTTTCCTTATGTACTCTCCAGGGTGGAGGGTACATATGAGTACATGCTACTTTTACTACTACTACTACCACTAGCAGCATTACTACTGCCTCTACTTCTTTTTCTTCCTCTCTTTGTCCCGACCCTCTCCCCTCGCTATATATAATTATATATATATAATATAATATATAATATATACTATATATATATATAAAATATATTATATATATATTATATATAATATAATATATATATATATATATATATATATATATATATATATTATATATAATATATATATATATATATATAATATATATATATATATATAATATTAAATAAATACTTTGTCCTTGGAGGCAAAGAGGCGAATGTATGAGAGTACCAATTTTTACCAACGCTCTTATATGGGTGGTGAAGCGTGGGTGATGAATGTTGCAGCGAGGAGAAGGCTGGAGGCAGTGGAGATGTCAATGTCTGAGGGCAATGTGTGGTGTGAATATAATGCAGAGAATTCGTAGTTTGGAAGTTAGGAGGAGGTGCGGGATTACCAAAACTGTTGTCCAGAGGCCTGAGGAAGGGTTGTTGAGGTGGTTCGGACATGTAGAGAGAATGGAGCGAAACAGAATGACTTCAAGAGTGTATCAGTCTGTAGTGGAAGGAAGGCGGGTAGGAGTCGGCCTAGGAAAGGTTGGAGGGAGGGGGTAAAGGAGGTTTTGTGTGCGAGGGGCTTGGACTTCCAGCAGGCATGCGTGAGCGTGTTTGATAGGAGTGAATGGAGACAAATGGTTTTTAATACTTGACGTGCTGTTGGAGTGTGAGCAAAGTAACATTTATGAAGGGATTCAGGGAAACCGGCAGGCCGGACTTGAGTCCTGGAGATGGGAAGTACAGTGCCTGCACTCTGAAGGAGGGGTGTTAATGTTGCAGTTTAAAAACTGTAGTGTAAAGCACCCTTCTGGCAAGACAGTGATGGAGTGAATGATGGTGAAAGTTTTTCTTTTTCGGGCCACCCTGCCTTGGTGGGAATCGGCCAGTGTGATAATAAAAAAAAAATAATATATTATATTATATTACTGGCTCCCTCACTCTTTTTGTTTTAATGTTAATAAGCATAGAAGTAATTTCTAATGGTTGTAATTACAGCTACAATTTTTAAAGGGTGGACTGGTAAGCCAGTGGAAGGCCTCGGTCAGATGACCAAAAGCTCCGGTTGCAGGTTATCATATGACTAAGACCCGCGTCAGGAAACACTTGTCCTGTTTCCTAACGACTTACCTAACACATCTTTTGTATTAGTGTGACTTTGTAAATGATTCAAGTCAGACTGACACGTCGTCGTCAGTCTGTGTGCCGGTTATTGTGCCTTTTTTTCTTAATATTAATAGAAGATTAAGTAAAACATGAGATGGTAATGATAATGATATATTTTGATAGTTGGCAGTGGTGTTGGTGGCAGTTTTACTGGTGAGGCTGCTGGACTAGTGAGGCCGCTGGACTGGTGAGGCTGCTGGACTGGTGAGGCTGCTGGACTGATGAGGCTGCTGGACTGGTGAGGCTGCTGGACTGGTGAGGCTGCTGGACTGGTGAGGCTGCTGGACTGGTGAGGCTGCTGGACTGGTGAGGCTGCTGGACTAATGAGGCTGCTGGACTAGTGAGGCTGCTGGACTGGTGAGGCTGCTGGACTGGTGAGGCTGCTGGACTGGTGAGGCTGCTGGACTGGTGAGGCTGCTGGTGATATTTTCAGTGATCCAGGATGTAATAATGATGGTCGAATTGTTGGTGGTTGTTAGCGATATTGTTGTTAGTGGTTGCTGGCAGCGATACAATAATTGCGGTGGTGTTGGCAGGTACGATATGCTGGTACTGATAGTGATGGTGATTGTGAGGTGTGTACTCACCTAGTTGTGGTTGTAGGGGTCGATCCATAGCTCCTGTCCCCGCCTCTTCACTGGTCGCTACTGGGTCACTCTCCCTGAGCCATGAGCTTTATCATACCTCTACTTAAAGCTATGATGTATGGATCCTGCCTCCACTACATCGCTTCCCAAATTATTCCACTTCCTGACTACTCTGTGACTGAAGAAATACTTCCTAACATCCCTATGATTCATCTGTGTCTTCAACTTCCAACTGTGTCTCCTTGTTGCTGTGTCCCATCTCTGAAACATCTTGTCTTTGTCCACCTTGTCAATTCCTCTCAGTATTTTATATGTCGTTATCATGTCCCCCCTATCTCTCCTGTCCTCCATTGTCGTCAGGTCGATTTCCCTTAACCTCTCCTCTTAGGACATACCCCTTAGCTCAGGGACTAGTCTTGTTTGCAGACCTTTGTGTGTGTGTGTGTGTGTGTGTGTGTGTGTGTGTGTGTGTGTGTGTGTGTGTGTGTGTGTGTGTGTGTGTGTGTGTGTGTGTGTGTGTGTGTGTGTGTAAATTATTTAACAGTGGCCGCTCTATTGATTAATAAGTCTCACCTTCCTGGCTACAATCTTCTCATCGTCGTAGCCAACCCACTGGTTGTTAGAGAAGGCGTAGGGTCCAATGCGTCGTGGGTAGGGCTTACGCACCTCCCACCCATTAGACGCAATATTCTCACAGACCTGAAAATCGCCAACAAGATGTCAAACTACACTGTGCTTTTTATTCGCGTAAAACACTCCTTTTATATAAATTTCTGCTTGATTTATTAGTAAAGAGCTGTTTATTTCAGATTAAATAAACTTGATTGGATCATGAATTTGGCTCAACAGATTATTAAGTAGCCACCAAAACTTACTTCATAGAATGCCATAAAACCATTTTCCCTAGTGTACTTTCCCTGCTCGCCAGGACCGTCCGCGGAGGCACCGAAATCTGTAAAATTTCCGTCAAGGAGAGTGAAGGATCGACCGTAGGTGGGGATACCGATCACCAGCTTATGTCTGTCAGCTCCCAGAGAGATGTAATACTTCACTGTCCAGTCCTGCAACAATCAGGAAGAACCAATCACTTTTTTTAAAATAAAATGAAAGAGATTCAGTAAGTGTTGATCATGTGTGTCTGGTCGGGGCGAAAACACCAACAGCATAATGAAAAAATGTACTTCACATTAAGAACTGATACGAAAAAGAAATGTTTTATAAGTTAGGGCTGGGGATGACAGTGCCATCTAGTGTGTGTGTGAGTAACTCAGTATGGGTGGAGAGGATAAATAGTTTCTTAGCCCAGGCCACCTGGAGTTACCCTTCAAGAAAGCAAAAGAATCTGGATGCTAGTTAAGGGCTCTTGATTCAAGGAATTAAAACGCCTTTCCGCTTCCTTTCATCAACCCTGATTACATCCCATTCCCTTAATAATAACCCTGGCCAGGTATGTGTCTGTGTAACTAGTGATAGACATATCTCTCGCCTCTTATACAAATGTTTTTGTCTCGCATCTTTCATTCAGGCCACGCTAGCTGGAGATTCGTCTGTAAAAACTTGCATTTGTGGTCACAGTGGTGCCTGTGCTAACCTTCCTATGGTGTAGAAATATACCTAGTTGGACGAATCTTATTGTGGCTAGCTGGTCCAGTGACTAACGCGTCGGTCTGAAGTTTTGAGACTTTTTGATCGCGGGTTCTATCCCACCCCTGGTATGGTTTGTTTACAATCGTGTCATTACGATTTCGAGAGTCATTCAGGTGTCTGTTTTTCTATTTTTTTTCATGGTGATGGGAAGCACTGATTTAACTTTATTTGAATATAATATATATATGTTCTTGCCCTGTAAATTACTTTTACTGTGTCAGAACATAATTTACTATTGGAAAAAGTAATTTACTGACCACATTGAGCTCTGCGTTCCATGCATACTCTGAGGTTCCAGGCGCTGGTTGCAGGGCAGCGTGGTGGTTCACAGCCGGTTCGTAGGAGCTGTGGTAATCATAGTTGAGAATGTTGAAGAAATCCAGGTCTCTGTGAGAAGTGACAGGAAGAGGTTTGTTACTCTGTGGCAGGAGACGGCAATGGAAAGATGAAGTTACTCAGGTAGTAGGAAGAGAAAGTATATTGAAACTGGGGAACTCAAACTATTTAGTCTCTCTGCTGAGATTTAGTCGCGGTCTAGTTACCTCTAATTTAATCTAGATAATGGAGATAGCATTTCTGTCCCGTCAGTTCTAGCCTACTAACATTATCCTTTCATGTAATGTCTCTTTATGCTGGTGAAGGACTCTTATTTCGAAGAATTAGAGCTGCCCTCTTCTATTTTGGATCAAGTCAGATTGCCTATTATTTTCCAGGTGTTGTATGACCCTTAGGGTTTTGGCGCAAACTGCTGAATATAAACTGATACTCTTGTTTTGTCCCGGGTAGCACATTAAGGTTAGGTAGGGAATATTCTCTAAACTACAAGAGGAAGATGGTGGTTGTGGTGGTAATGGTAGCTATGGTAGTGATAGTTATGGTGACCGTGGAGGTAGTCATGATGGTGGTGATATCCGTGGTTATAATGACGGTGATGCGGTGAGGATGGTGATAGTCGTAGGTGGTGACGATGAAGGTAATGATGACTGGTAGCGCTGGTGGTGGATGATGGTAGGGGCAGTGGTGTTTGTGGTAGTGGTGATGGCGTTTGTGGTGATGGTGGTGGTAGTGGTGATGATAGTGGTGATGGTGGTGGTAGTGGTGATTGTGGCGGTAGTGATGATAGTGGTGATTGTGGTAGTGGTGGTGATAGTGGTGATTATATTGGTGATTGTGGTGGTAGTGGTGATGATAGTGGTGGTGGTGGTGATGATAGTGGTGATTGTGGTAGTGGCGGTGATAGTGGTGATTATATTGGTGATTGTGGTGGTAGTGGTGGTGGTGGTGATGATAGTGGTGATTGTGGTAGTGCAAACCGGTTTCTCTATCTACTTTCACTCCTGATACAAGTAGTTCCAAATTGATTTTCTCATTAGTCTTGAGGATGTTAGTAACTTGCATCAAAACTCTCTACTACATTGATGAGTTCAGTAAAACTCTCTAGTGTATTAAAGAGTTCAGTAGAACACTCTGTTGATGGATACAGTAAACAGTGGATACAGTAAACAGTCTACTGAGGTGGCCCGGTGGCCTGGTGGCTAAAGCTCCCGCTTCACACACGGAGGGCCCGGGTTCGATTCCCGGCGGGTGGAAACATTCGACACGTTTCCTTACACCTGTTGTCCTGTTCACCTAGCAGCAAATAGGTACCTGGGTGTTAGTCGACTGGTGTGGGTCGCATCCTGGGGGACAAGATTAAGGACCCCAATGGAAATAAGTTAGTCCTCGATGACGCACTGACTTTCTTGGGTTATCCTGGGTGGCTAACCCTCCGGGGTTAAAAATCCGAACGAAATCTTATCTTATCTTACTGTATCGATGGTTAAAGTAAAAGTTTTTATTGTATCCATGTAGTATATTACAGAACCCTTTACTGCCTCGAGGACACAACAAGACTCTCTACTCTCTCACTGTATACAGTATTAAATTCAACTTAGACCACAAAGAAAGATGTAGAAGCCGAAATTTCCTAACTTACAAATGTAACCAGGATGAGACATTTCCCGAGTGAAAGCTGGTGATAAATTTTCTAAATGTTAGCAAGAGATATACTGCGAGTGTAAGAAAAAAAATGCATTTTGAGGTACATTTTGAGATACACTCTGGTTTAAGTAGATGCGTTTTGTGGAAGTAAGCAATAGATAAACTTCAGACAATAAGTTCAGTCATGTCAACACTGATGTATAAGTTGAAGAACCAAAGAGCTGCTGAGACACACTAGGCCTACCTGGTGATGGAAAGAGGGAGGGTACAGCTGCCTACCTGGTGAGGGAAGGAGGAGGTTACAGTAGCCTACCTGAAGGAGGGAAGATGTTTTGTGTTTGAGCATGTACTAAAATTTCTTTAATAATTTTGCATTTTGTTATTCCTGAGAGATATACTGATAAAGATATTCTCTTAGGAACATATGGAGAGGAAGCACTAGAAATAAGAACGCCTGGCGAGCAAGGGAGGGTTCGGTAGGCCTACCTGGTGAGAGAGGGAACGTCGTAGCCCTTGTCGATGTAGTTCTTGCCTGCAGGTACAGCCATGGTGAGTAGTAATGGTCCCTTCTTCACCTTGCTGCCTTCATCGTCAAATGCTTCACGAAGCTCCTGTAAGGAGAGAGAAAACCTGTTTAGTACCTCCCAGGGGAATGGCTGAGGGAGCTAATTACCAAGATGAGTGTATATTGAATGTATGTAGAAATTTGTAAGATTTACCCGTCACTGTACGTGTTCATGAGGCAGAAAGAAATGACTAGTAATACTGCCTGAGTGCAAAAATTTTGAGTCTTTCAGTTCACACACACACATGCCAGGGAGGGAGTACCTCTCTGGATGACATTTTCTTGTACATGTACTTTTCTCGTGAGTTAATTAAGATTTTAACTTCAGCAAAATATCAAATGAGGGCTCGCCGGAGAACAGGAATAAAAGGCAGGAGAAGATAAAGAGACAATGTAAATGTAAAAACAAAGTTTAAATGAGTTGAGGAAATCTTCAGAGATGTAGATAATAAACTTCAGTAACAATAAATAGAGGCAAGAAGACGACACTGAACATTGAATAATACAAGAACAATGAATGCTTCCCACTGGATGGGGACGTTACTTATTTAGCAGCAACCAAGAGAATGCCACACCCAGGATGGACTACTCCGAGATTACAAGACATAATATAAAATGAATCGCCGCACGCGTTAAAAATATTGATCATACTAGAAAGTAAAGACAGAAACCCAGGTAATGGAGTGGCGTGAGACGATGAGCAAAAGTGAAAGTTACTCAGAATTGTGTATTCGTTAACATGAGGGAGACCATCTCTCTGCAAGTGAAATCTGGATTGCTATGGTACTCATACCTTGGCGTAGCTGGGCAGCCTGGTGGGGCAGTAGCCAGGGTGAAAGCAGCTCTACCTGCTGCTTCGAGTGTTGTGTTCATTAGTTGTCTTTCCCTTCTGCACTACTAGCAAGGAAAGTGTGATGACATGGCCTGCCTATCAGTAAAATAAGGCTAGTGTAAACTTCCTGAAGGCTTAAGAGCTATTATTATAGCACCGGCCTTGCTTGTGGAGCAGGTCTGGGGTTAACTTGGAGTTCGATACTTGGCCACCACTTCGTTCCAGACGGAGCTAGCTGCCCAAAATGTACCTATGCTAGTGGCTTTCTTTTGTGCTTTATAGTATTTCATTACATATCAACTACATTTTGTTTACCGCAGAAAATAAATAAAGTTGTATTGTAAGTAGCGTTTTTTTTAGCACACAACAGAGGATACTTAACATTGGTAACATTCTGCGAAGGACGAGAGTCAACGGCGAAGGATAATTCTCAGGCGTAATTATTGATTCATTGTCAGATTTAAAAAGCTTTATCTGTTCAGCACAATGAGCATAGTTTCTAAATTTATCAATTTACGACTGTCATTACCATGTTGTTGCTAGCGTGACCAATTTTCTGCTATATTACAGAAATTATCATTAAAATATATTCAAAGCCATTCAAACTCCTTGTCTCACTTCACAATGCAGATTCATAGTTCGTTGCCAGTCGTAATTAGGAAGACGATTTGTTAATTAAACTACCGAGTAAACAAAAATTTCTAGGAAAGGTGGGACTAATTTTTTTCTGACCGGAAGCAGTAGATCCCTTCAACACAAGTAAGACATTTCTCCTTGAAGGATCCGGCTCTGCGAAAGAAACTAACGGAGAAGGATGCTCAGAGTAAGTCTGGGGTTCAGGTAGGCCGTACCTGGTACTGAGGTAGGTACACCTTGAGGGGCGTGTCTGGGAGCCTGCAAGCAGGTCAACTGGTCCTGGCAGCTGCACAAGGCCACCTGGTACCACTTGATGACCAGGTAAAGGGCAAGTCTCAGTAAGTCTAATCTATCTTCTTAATGATAGTGAACGGCTCTTGATCCGAGGAACTGCGGTTGCTTTTCCCTTCTTCAAATCAAATCTGACTGTCTCCTATTACTCAGGTGCTGTATTACAATTACAGATTTAGCGTTTCCCCTTGGATATAATGATTATATCAGCTGATCAAGAAGTCCGGCGAATCTGTTTTTAGTATGGCTGAGAGAGTTTGTTCCCACCCCAGACACGACCTTATGTGACAACCACCCCAGACACGACCTTATGTGACAACCACCCCAGACACCACCTTATGTGACAACCATCCCCGACACGACCTTACGTGACAACCACCCCGGACACGACCTTATGTGACAACCATCCCCGACACGACCTTATGTGACAACCATCCCCGACACGACCATACGTGACAACCATCCCCGACACGACCTTACGTGACAACCACCCCAGACACCACCTTATGTGACAACCATCCCCGACACGACCATACGTGACAACCACCCCAGACACCACCTTATGTGACAACCATCCCCGACACGACCATACGTGACAACCATCCCCGACACGACCTTACGTGACAACCACCCCAGACACCACCTTATGTGACAACCACCCCGGACACGACCTTATGTGACAACCACCCCAGACACCACCTTATGTGACAACCATCCCCGACACGACCTTACGTGACAACCATCCCCGACACGACCTTATGTGACAACCATCCCCGACACGACCTTACGTGACAACCACCCCAGACACGACCTTATGTGACAACCATCCCCGACACGACCTTACGTGACAACCACCCCAGACACCACCTTACGTGACAACCACCCCAGACACCACCTTATGTGACAACCACCCCCGACACGACCTTATGTGACAACCATCCCCGACACGACCTTACGTGACAACCATCCCCGACACGACCTTATGTGACAACCATCCCCGACACGACCTTACGTGACAACCACCCCAGACACGACCTTATGTGACAACCATCCCCGACACGACCTTACGTGACAACCATCCCGACACGACCTTATGTGACAACCATCCCCGACACGACCTTACGTGACAACCACCCCGGACACGACCTTATGTGACAACCATCCCCGACACGACCTTACGTGACAACCATCCCCGACACGACCTTACGTGACAACCATCCCCGACACGACCTTACGTGACAACCACCCCGGACACGACCTTATGTGACAACCACCCCAGACACGACCTTACGTGACAACCACCCCAGACACGACCTTACGTGACAACCACCCCAGACACGACCTTACGTGACAACTACCCCAGACACGACCTTATGTGACAACCATCCCCGACACGACCTTATGTGACAACCATCCCCGACACGACCTTATGTGACAACCATCCCCGACACGACCTTACGTGACAACCATCCCCGACACGACCTTACGTGACAACCACCCCGGACACGACCTTATGTGACAGCCATCCCCGACACGACCTTACGTGACAACCATCCCCGACACGACCTTACGTGACAACCACCCCAGACACGACCTTACGTGACAACCACCCCGGACACGACCTTATGTGACAGCCATCCCCGACACGACCTTACGTGACAACCACCCCAGACACGACCTTACGTGACAACCATCCCCGACACGACCTTACGTGACAACCACCCCGGACACGACCTTATGTGACAACCATCCCCGACACGACCTTACGTGACAACCACCCCAGACACGACCTTACGTGACAACCATCCCCGACACAATCTTATGTGACAACCACCCCAGACACGACCTTACGTGACAACCATCCCCGACACGACCTTACGTGACAACCATCCCCGACACGACCTTACGTGACAACCATCCCAGACACGACCTTACGTGACAACCATCCCAGACACGACCTTACGTGACAACCACCCCAGACACGACCTTACGTGACAGCCACCCCAGACACTTCCTTACGTGACAACCACCCCAGGCAAGACCTTACGTGACAACCATCCCAGACATGATATGACTCATCGTTACGTCATAAGTCAACTGCTGGCTGATACATGACCTCGTGATGTCACCAAGCGGCACTTGTTGACCTTATACACGTCTTGACCTCGTGACGTCATAGTTCACCACCAGTCTATCAAACGTGTCATTATTAGTATTAGTATTAAGTGGCAAACCCACAGATCAAAAAGCTCCTGGTGAATGAAAGTAATCATGTTTGATCCTAAGAAAGGAAGGATAACTCCAGTTCTTTGGATCAAAAGTCCATCACCGGCACCACAACACTTCCTTGAGGTCCCTCAGTGTCATAATCAACCTAGCAGTTTATATTTTGCTTCGCTTACATTATCAGCCTCTCCGTCTGGTCACCCATGAACACAACAGTAAACATACTCAAGAAGACGAAAATCTAACCTAGGCAAAGAAAAAAGCTGAGCTTCCCATTTCATGGTCCGGGTGCTCCTTGCTGTTTTTACTCTTCATAACACAGATAAAAACACTAGCCACAGCTTCGTATCATGCACGTTTAACGCATGCTTTAATAATAATAATCATAATCATAATCATAATCCATTTGGTTATTAAAACAAGCAATTGTTTTTTTCCTTACGTACACACAAATAGATGAGAAAGCTGAAACAACTTATTATCTAATATACTTGTCTTGCAGAGTTCGTACAACTAGGTAACATTACGTTTGTCTGTCTCGCATTTAATATATACAAGATCAAGCCTTCACCACTCCTTGTGTAGAGTGATCCATACGGACGGTGGATCAAGCCTCCACCACTCCTTGTGTAGAGTGATCCATACGGACGGTGGATCAAGCCTCCACCACTCCTTGTGTAGAGTGATCCATACGACGGTGGATCAAGCCTCCACATCCTTGTGTAGAGTGATCCATACGGACGGTGGATCAAGCCTCCACCACTCCTTGTGTAGAGTGATCCATACGGACGGTGGATCAAGCCTCCACCACTCCTTGTGTAGAGTGATCCATACGGACGGTGGATCAAGCCTCCACCACTCCTTGTGTACAGTGATCCATACGGACGGTGGATCAAGCCTCCACCACTCCTTGTGTACAGTGATCCATACGGACGGTGGATCAAGCCTCCACCACTCCTTGTGTACAGTGATCCATACGGACGGTGGATCAAGCCTCCACCACTCCTTGTGTACAGTGATCCATACGGACGGTGGATCAAGCCTCCACCACTCCTTGTGTA